AAAATGCAGACAAAAGAGTGGTATTAAATATATTTATATGGAAGAAAACCTTTTGCACGCTCCATTATATGCATTTCTCTGCCTTGGGAATGTGTAAGAACATTTTTGGCTGCTGTTAATCAGTTTTGTCGATTCACTGTTTTCAGGATGCACAAGCAATGTTGGTAACACCCCATGTTTTGAGCAAGCTTAGGGACTGCGTGTGCTATCTATTTTACTGTTGCTACCTGAAAAACACAGTTTTAGGGCATGTCCTGGTTTCGGCTGGGATAGATTTAATTTTCTTCTAGTAGCTGGTACAGTGTGTTTTGGATTTAGTGTGAGAATAATGCTGATAACACACCGATGTTTTTAGTTGGTGCTCAGCAGTGTTTACACTAAGTCAAGGATTTTTTAGCGTCTCATGCCCTGGCAGCGAGAAGGATGGAGTAGCACAAAAAGCTGGGAGGGAGCATGGCCAAGAGAGCTGACCCCAACTAGCCAAAGCTACTCCAGAGCATATGACACCAAGCCCACTATAGAAACTGGGGGGAGTTGGCCGGGAGGGGCAGATCCCTGCTGGGGCATCGGTCAGTGGGCAGTGAGCGACTGCACTGTGCATCACGTGTCTGGTTTGGGTTTTATTTCATTCTCTTTTTGTTATCTTCCTTTTCATTACAATTATTATTTATTATTATATTTTATTTCGATTATTAAACTGTTCTTATCTCAGCCTGTATGTTTTACTTGTTTTCGATTCTTTTTCCCATCCCAGGGGGCGGGGAGGAGCGATCGAGCAGGAGGCTGTGTGGTGCCTAGTTGCCAGCTGGGTTAAACCACGGCAGGGTGATAAAATGTCATGAGTTCAAATAAAATTCAGGCTTTTCTTGTGGCATGTGGAAGTTGAAGAAATCTCTTTTTTCATGCTTTGTTGGGGTATGTGCAAGTATGTGAATTCTTCAGTTGCTGTAAGAAACCCCGGGGAAGAGTGAACTTGTGGAGTGGAGGCAAGTTCTCCCCGTGCTGCCTTAACACACCACCCGGGTGTTTGTTTGGGGAACAGGAGGGTTTGAAGTGAGCAGCGACCGGCTCCCTGCGCAGAAAAGAGCCCAGGGTGTGGATGTGCCACACAGTGGCCAATAAAGACCAGGCTCCTCTTCCTCTCTTAGTACTGGTTTGGCCTCTGGCAGGTCATCTGTTGAACTGGGAAGGAGATTTAATGTCACATTTTATAACTGAGCTTTCATAAACTGCCTGTGCAGAGGGTCTGCTGCATGTATTAATGTATAACTGAAGCAGAAGGGCGTGACGATGTGTGTAAAGTCTGGTCAACCTTGTGTTTTCCAGGCAAATCATGCTGTGATTCACCAAAAACATTTAATGTTCTGTTGCCAAATACTTGCTTACAAGAGATCTCCTGCTCTGCAGGCTTTGGATTTTTCACTGTTTATGATTTTGCCTATGTGAAAATGTAAAATGATAATTTTTAATAAAATACATACCCCGGCAGTTATTTAGTCTGTTTTCATCTCGTCACTTTAGTCTTCAGAGTGTTTTGAGCAGAATGCTCTTTGCAGCTATTAAAATTCTGAAAAATTTAGTTATTTTTAATCTGTTTCATACAGAGCTGTTTTTTACCTTTTGGCGAGCTATCACCCATCCATTTGGTTTTCCTGATGTTTCAACTAAAACAGGTTCATCCATGAGTCTGAGCTTTTGTGGAATCCATGTAAATTTGGGAAAGCTTTGGCAAAGCCTGTTTACTGAAAACCTACAGAATTGGGCAGTTGGGGCTAACTGGAATAAATTGAGTTACTTGACTGTTCGTTGTAGGTGTCTGCATTTCTTATACTTGTTGAAATCATCCTTCAGTCTTGGCAGCAAAATCTTCAGTTTACTGTTGTTTTCCTTCTGCTCATTACAGAAGTACCTGGAATTTATGTAGTCATGGCTATGCTGAGGTTTTTCCCACCAAGCAGGATAAACACCCCCCTGATTTCACACATAGGAGGTTTGCAGACTGAATCAAGTCATCTTAAGAGGAAAACCGAGTCTCCTTCTCTCCATCCCTTTTTTGGGGGGAGAGAGAGAAAGGAACAGTGAAGTGAGGAGGAGGGGAGGGAGGAAAATTTAACAGTGGCAGAGAGAACATGAAGTGAATTCTGGTTGGGTTTATTTTTTCCCTTCCTTTGAATTTTTACCAGCTTCAAATTTCATGTCTGTCTCTGAGGTATAAGGGAGTACTCATATTTTAAACTGAAACAAAGATTTATTCTCTGATTTTTAACAATGTAATTGATTTGAGCTGTCTGTAATGGAGTAACAGTTGCATAAGCTTTGAAAGTTCATATCCCATTTGTATGCTAATGTCTCTTCAAGTCAGATTTCTCTTCAGGGCTGGGCATAAAAACAAAGTACTGCAATCGCTTGCTGATCAAAAATGACTTGAGAAGATGTATTTTCCCAGTTTAACCTTGGGCAAAATATTTTTGGCATCAGACTGTTCATTTACATGGACTTTTGAGTGCTTTTAAAGTATAGCCTTCTATAATTAGGGTTTTTAAAGTTTGAGTTTTTATGCAAAGTGTATAGGTGTTTTGTTCTCTTGTAATTTTGCATTTGAAATCTTTAGGAAATGGGACAACTGCAAGAATTTTCTTGGTCTTTGATATGGTATCAGCTCTTGGTGTTTGAGGAATGCAGTGTTTTCCTAAACTTCCTCACTCAGTTGTTACATGTGAATTAGTTTTATATCTGTACTGTGCTTTGAAGCTGTAAAGTGTTGTTACTCTTTAATTAAAAAAAATGGTAGAGATCACTGTGTTTAAATAGGTGCAGATAATTCACAATAGGTTCAAAGCAATTCGTCCAGTAACCCTGCTGCCACAATCTCTGTCAGATTTTTAATTACCCCATGATTCCACTGGAGGCCAGAATCTGGGGTTTGCATCTTGTCCTTATGGGAGGGGGATATCCAGCCCTTACTGTTCTGCCAGCCTGCCCCCTCAAAGAGTTGGGCACTTTATTTAACCCTACGCCTCTCACAGTTCCCCTAGGTTTTGTAGACAGGTAACGGCATGACTGCAGGTGTTTCTGAACATGGGTTTCACCCCAAAAAAAACCCTTCTTGGTTGCCACTGGCCCAAGCTCAACATGGAGGTGCCCGTGCTGTGGGCTGGGACCCGGCAGCTGCAGCGGCAGTTCCTGAACCTGGCTTTTGAAACGGCACAAGAGGGATGTGGAAGAGGGTTGAATTATAGGGAAAACTTCCAGCTGTGCTTATGTGTCCAGAACACAGATACTTCTTGCACGTCTCCAAAGGAGGTGAATGGTTCTTTGGTGGGAGCTGGTGTGCTGGATGCCCTTACTGAGGGTGTCACAACGTGGGCCCAACGGAGCCAAGCGAGAGCCACCTGGGCTCAGTCCTGCACCGCATTCAGCCTCGGCATCCCAGTTGGGATCCCTCACTCGTGTTTGTGGAGAAAAGGAGCTGGAGCTCTCTGGAAGAGCCTCTTCCTTTCCATGGACCAGCGGAAGAAACCCAGAATAATCAGAGCCTCCACACGCAACCAGTGGTGCCTGAAGCCTTCGCACCAGGAATGAGCTGAGTGCTGCCGCCCGCCTGCATGCCTCTGCCCCTGCCTGCTGCTCTCAACTGCCTTTCCATTTTACTGCTGCTCTCGGTATGATTTTGATTAGCAGGTTGAAAAACTAAATGTAGGGAAGGAAACGGATAATAAAATCTTTGGGCTACCCCATAATAAAACTTTTGCAGTGTTATGGGGTATTGCAAAACGATTTGGGTAATTCAGACTGTAATGTAATGTGTGTCGTCACCGCTAGCCCTGACGGTGATTGGGATGTCACAGCAGTTACTTACAAAAGTATAAATCCAAAAGGAGAATTATCATGTTATGATGTTCCTTACGTTTTGAAAGTTGGGGTTTTTTTAGATACTCAAAAAGTGAAACTCTTGATGCAAGTGTCCTTCCTGTGTACTTAACCACAGCTCTAAATGGAAACGTATTTAACATTTGAAAGAATGTCTGTTAGACACAGCCCAAGATAATTTGTTCTCTCTTGTCCAATTTCCCAGGTTTTCTGTGCTGATTATTAACAGATGGAACTCAGCATGTTCAGGAATAATCCCTCTCTTACCCCTGTATACAGAGTTGTGTCTAGACAACAGGCAAGGAAGAGGTGAGCAAGAAGTCTCTGACCTTTCTGTTATAATAATTCATGCCAACCACCGTGGTTCCTGACACTTAAACTGGGTCCAGAATGTATCATATGCTGTTTAATGTTTTATGAAAAACACCTGTTTCTGTACCTTCTGCCAAATAAGATTTCCAAGGTTTACTTTTTTAAAGCTATTTGAATTTTTATCCCCAAGGTTTCACTGTGGTTGATGACACTGGAACTGGATGAACACAACATGGAGAGCAGTTAGTGCTGCTGGGAGGCCTGGCTTAGGTTATAGGCTGAGTCTGGGGGTCCATAACCACGCTGGACAGCAGAAAAGCTCATGGGGGTGTGCGTGTGAAGAATTGGAGGCAGAAGGAGAAATCTAGGATTATCAGCAAAGGTCCTTTTTACTTTTTTTCACTTTTCAAAATACATGATATCTCTAAGAAATAACGAAGCTGTTGACTACCAGTGTCTCAGGTGAATGCAGGTTGCTCAGATGCAGACTGGGGAAAACCGGAAGAGGGTAAATAGCTTTTTGTGTGTGTGGTTTTTTTGAATAGTGCTTTTTCTTCTTCCCTTCAATCTCAAGTCAGTGGGAAGGCCATTTTCCCATAAATACATTTAACCCAGTTTGGTGTGTTTGCAGGGTTATGTGAGGGTGGAACTGTTACTCTTTATGGACTTAAAAAGTGGGTGTAGGGAAAAGAATGAACTAATCAGAAACCATTCTGAAAAAAAGGAATAACTGAAATAATTTTAGTTTTCTAAGACAGTCAAAATAAAGTATGCTCTACCCCTTCTATCAGCTGATGCTTTTTTTTTCTCTTTTTCAATTTAAAGGACTGTATTAAAATTCAGCTAACATGGCTTCTAGAAGGGCGATGTGCCTGGCTGGCTAAAGCAAGTGCTAGTAAGCAAATCTAGTCTGAGTTTGGATTTAAACCCTGGCTTTTCCAGGCCAGTGGTGGCTGTGGTGGGCTGCCGGCACTTGTCTTTACCACACTCACCAGTTTTCTTACCAGCACCAACACTGAGCACTGTGTCGATGTGAAGCACTTCAAAGTGGGTACAAAAACTAGATGAAAAGATACAAAAAGGTTTGTTGGTCCTATTGGCTGCTTTTTTTCAAGAGACTACTCCTTAAATGCATGGCCATGTCCATTAAAAGTTATTTATAATGTGAGCCTTAAGAAGTCAACAAGCTGCTTCCACTATCAGGATATATTGTTTAAAAATCTGGGCTGGGCCATCGCATAAAGATGCTTTGTTTGATTTTTCTTGCAAACCCATTCCACTAAAGATGAGAGCCAGTTTTATTTTGAAGTTGAGCTGGTGGTTTCAGGGAAGCAGATGTTTAAGTAGCTCGCTCGCTCTGAAATATGTCAGCGTTTTGTGTGCTGCTATTTCCATGGAAACAGGTATTGGCTCAGCAGAAATGGCATAGGGATTTCAAAATTACATTTTAAAAAACAAAATCAAGATAGGTTAGTCATTCTTAGTTCTAGTCATAAACACTGATAGCAGTGCTGAACTGAACCTGTCTTTTGAATACATTAGGTGTAGTCATGCAAAGCGGCAGATTGGTGATTAGTATTTTAAATTAATGTTTTTAATAGGTGGGCTGGTGTTCCAGAGGCCTTTATTAGAAAGACATGGATTTATTGCATTTTGTTCAGCACGTGCTTTTCTCTGTACTTGAAGGCAAGCGCAGTTTTATCACTTCTTCAGGCCTCCCCCTTCCTCAAAGGAGGTGAAATATGTATTGGGTGAGAACTACACATTTCAGCTAGTCAGCAAACGACACTTTTTTAAACAAAAATACAACATGAAAGAGTAACTTGTGAGTCTGTAATCTCTAGCAACACGTAAAAATGATGCAAGCCCCATTTTTGGGGGCTATTTTGCCTTTGGGGATGTTTGCTTTAGGAGGAGCTGCCTTACAGCCAAAGCAGTTACCACCGTTCAGTGCTGCTACAGCATTAAAAAATAGGATTGAACTAGTGGGACTTGTTGCTCCCCAGAATATTGTACACAGCACAAATCTAACAGGAAGGGGAAGACAGGGAGCTCCAGGAAGAAGCAAGATGCCTCTGTGCGTTGTCTTGGCGGTTCAGAGATTTTCCAGCTCGGACAGTGGTTCAAGATCTTTCTTCACCCCGAGTCAACCACCCCAAGTACGCCAGAGCAGCTATTCCCAGCAGCAGCTGCGGAGGCTGAGGGAGAGGGGGGAGAAGGCCCCAGCACCAGGGAGTGCGGATCCTGTCCCCAAGAGACAGCTGCTGCTGTGGGAGGAGGACGAGGAGGAAGGCAGGGAGACAGAGCCATAGGCCCGAGGAGAGATGGAAATGCAAAGGTGGTGTGGGACCGACTGCTGGGGGAGAGGAAGCAGCAGGAGCCACATGTGTGAGAGGGGAGATGGCTCTGAAAAACATCTGTAAGGAAGCTACCTACAAACAAATGAAACAAAAAAGGCAAGGAACATTGCTCCAAAAACACGGGCACGTTCCCAAAAGAACACAGACTTTTTTTTACTAGTGGAATTTGTTTGACAGAACAATTTCCCTTAGAAATAAAATTCTTTAAACATTGGATCACTAAATAATGAAGGGTAAAGTGCTTAGTGACTGAAATTATCTTCCTTAAAAGGATACCCACCAAGACCAAACTCTGTTTCTATAGGGGCTATACCTCAGCCAAGTATTTTCCAAAAATCCAGAGGCAGAACAAGCCTACAGTTCACACGTGCAGTTTGCTGCTCAGTCTCCTCGTGTTCTCCCAGCAGCAGAAGGAACTGGTTGCATTTGCCCGTTGCCAGAACATCACCAAGCGCTGGGTGGGCAGCAGTGGCACCACATGTTCTGCCAAGGAGACACCAGCCAGAGGGGGAATCATCTTCCAACACAGACAGTTGTGTCTCTCCGTAACTCTGTACTTCTCTCTTCCTTGGATGATTATAAAATAAGCCATAAAATTGTATCAGTTTCTCAAGGAACAGAAAAACACAAGAACACATGCTGGCTGAGGCCAAGTGTCAGGCCAGGCTGGTATTTTGCCATTTTACTATCTTCTTCAAGCAGTACAAAATGCATTTTTTTTTCTTCACCTTCCCTAACCCATTTTGAGCTCTAAGCACAGCGGGTGCAGACCAGGGGCTGTTCCCTGGTAAAGGAGGAGTGGAGCACTGGGTCACCTTTTGGTCACACACCAGCTCCAGCTGGTGCCGTCCCAAAAGGCCCAAGCCCAGCTGGAACTCGGCACCAGTGGGTGCCACAAGCCCTCAGTTGCCCCTTCCAGACCAACTCGTGGCCCACCTGAGGTGACCACTGTGGCAATTCAGGGGTGGTGGTTTAGCAAGAGGAGCAGCATTTGAATTTTAACTATCGTTAGAGCTAAAGAAACTTCACATAGACTGTTTTAAATAGGAAGAATTAGACAGCCTGTAGCATACACGAAAACAACAAAACATTATACATAATAAGAAATTGATTATGCACAGTTATAGCAAGACCATCATTATAAAATTCATCTCTTTCCCAACATCAGCTAGCTAAGGATTCTGTCTAGAAATGCCAGATAATATCACTCTGTATCATACATGGAAATAATCAGGTTACAGGGAAAATCAGACCAAACAGAACCACACTAAGGAATCCTGCATATCATTTACTGTCTTGCTCAGAGTGGCCAATGAACAGAAACAGTCCCTGAGCACTGACGGCACATTCTGCTTCAGCTGGGAAAGGGGCAGGTTTGGTTTGTTGTTTTCAAAAGCACCACACCTGTGCAGATTCAAAGAAATAACATGAAACGGTTTAATATTCTAGAAGACAAGAAACAAAAATAAAATTTGGTTATCTATCTCACCATCATGTTACTGGGAAAGAAAGGGAACTCCAGGCTGGGTCATGGTATGGTCAGAGGATCCACTGAAAACTGAGCTGGCTATGACCATCGGTGCCTGCCCCTCAGCACAGACTTCGCTGAAAACCAGGTTCCCTCCGCTGTTAACTACTCAGGCTGCCTAGTTCCGTACCAGCAGGCAGCTCCTGGGCTCAGTGCCGGAGCACATCCACAGGCACAGAGCAAAAGGCAGCTCCCTTGGTGTCAGCTTCCCCTCAGGCACCTTCTCAGCAACTTGTTTGTCCCACTGCTGGTCTCAGCAGCTGCAGGAGTGAAGCGCCAGGACTGGCCCAAGCAGCTTTTACACCACACCAGAGTTACACAAGGAGGGATTTAAGGAAGATTTCCCACAGCAGGTACAGTACTGCCAGGTTGTTCTTACACACCCTCAAAAGCAGCTCAGATCTCACTGCCGGCGCTGCCACACGCATTCCTGGGTGCGCGGGTGGTGCCGCTGAAGCAGAGTTTTGGCTTAGGAATGTCCAGGGAGCACATGCTGGTGCTGCCCCGCACGTGACAAAAACAAGCTGTAACCGCTGATGGGTCAAAATACCTCGACTTCGCTGAAGCCCTAAGTTAATCCAATTTTTAAAAGTCAAAAGGAAAAAAAAAAAAAGCCAGAACCCTCACATACTTTAAACAATTTATTAGAACCCATAAATGTTGCTTTCATTAGAAGAATCAACACCTAATTCAGGGTGAAAATACATTTTAAGACAAACAAAAAAATTGTAGTACTTCAATACAGTATTTACCGCAGACTGCTATTCTTGGAACCCTGGTACAAATTTATACTCGCTGTGGTATTAGTACGATATCTAATTCTGAGCAGGTTCAGCATTGCATTTCCAATGGCAAGTACATCACACCATGCAAGGGCCATTCCCCCCATCTGCCTCCCGCGAGTATGGAATGAAGAGCTCAAGGCTTAAAAAAAAAAAACACAACCAAACCACCTTGAGATGCATCACCAGAATCTGAAATTTTTATTTCTTGTATATTTAAGACTGATCGGTAGAAGATTCCCGTGGCTAAAAAAAAAAAAATAAATTGAATGACCATTGAAATTTATTTAAAAGGTTCACTGAGTTGGCGTCAAGCAAACCTGAACTGTTACTTCAACCTGGAACCTGAGTACAGACAGAAAGTACAATTACCCATGTCAGAGGCCCTATCATCTCTCTTCACAGTAGCCCTTTTTGGGGAAGCAGGCTGGTTAATAACCTTAATTTCCACTCCTGTCAATCAAAAGAATAATTTCCATAAAATTCAGAAAGTGCTTAAACACAGAATACAAAAAGTATCTAACTTACAAACCTTCCCACATAGAAAATCAAAAGGTGGAGCATGGCAGATGTTCAGAGATTTGTATCAAAGTATTAAATTGAAAATTAACCGGAGTGACTGCACAGGATGGATGCTCGAGACAGTGGAACTGCACACGATGTGTTTGCCGAGTTGGGGGCTGTTCCTTCTGTCACGGTTCCCACAGAGCCAATGGAGACTTCTCCCTTTCTCACTAGCGCACTTGCTCTCTTTAACACACACATAAAGATTTCCTACAAGCTGTGCTGAATTATTTATATTACCTTTTAAAATAAGCTATTAGTTACACAACCTCTTCAGGATGTATCAACTCATTAAAATTCTAATATGACCGATTTCCAGCTCGAGTGACAAGATTTGGTCATTGTATGCGTGAATTAAAATGGTACTTGCTTCCGAAGACTGCCAGAGCCTTTCCTCAGTTACATTAAGGAAGGAGCAATTTTTTTAAACATTCAGTTTTCATTCTCAACTGCTAGCTCACCTGCAAAATACAAAAACACAGCACTCATGAGAAAAGCAGAAGTATTTTTGCTCATACAGGTATTACTGTAGAAAAGGAGTCCTTTGACTGTACATTGTTTCCACAGTGTATTTCTTACATGAGATACAAACTGTACAAGTTCTCCAGTTTACAAAGTTTTCTAAATTGCAGAAACAATTCAGCCCGTATTTATAATATCAGTTTTAAATGTAAAGATTATTACAGATAAAGTACAGTCTAAGCAATTGGCTCAATGTAACAGCAAAAATGTAGTTTTAATACAGTTTGCAATAGTACAGCTATGCACATATGTACAGAACTGTTTCCTTCTGTTACTTCACTGGCTGAGTGTAGTCGTCACTTTTTATGATCATCTTCCTTTAAGGTAAAGTAAAAATGGTTCAGTTTCACAGCACTTCAAATTCTTCTGTGGAGATCTCCTCTCATCCACATTCCTGCCTCACTCACGCTTTAGAGAACTCCATCACTGAAGCGTGGCTTGCCATAATCAACGAGGTCATTTTGTAGGTCTCTTTCTTCATCATCTGCAATTAAAACATGCAGCTGATGCGATACTGCTGAAGAAATCCTTCCCCAAGCTTTCCCCGAGCATGCTGCTAATGCCTCTGTCCACACGGAGCTGCCTCACCCGTGTACAGGAATGAACTCATGGGGGAAACAGGAACGCACGCAGGCCTGCGAGCGCACATCCGGCTGCTGGCACTCCGGGACAGGGTCCTTGGCTTTACTGCAACCGTGTTCCAGCGATTTGTTGACTTAAGCGACTGCAGAACTAGTTAAACTTACTACTGTAATTTGAGAATCTTCCTGTAAGGATTTCAAACTCTTACCACTAAAACCCAACTACAATGTCAACTGCTTTGGAAAGTCACACTGTCATTTTTTAAGCCATGCCATAAGATTTTGCCATGGCTGGGTGTCTCCTGGGACTGGTGCAGCCAAGCCAGCACAGCCCCCTCCATGCTGGGATAATCCTTTTTCCACCTTCTTCACAGATTTAGGAGATGATGCCTTTCAGGCACAGCACATTTTTCAGTGATAGGAACTTTTACTAACCCTGGAATTCACTTTACTGTCAACGTTTTTACATATTGCTACCTCGTGCCTCATACTGGAGAGTAAAAATTGAAAACAGACTGTAAAAAAAATGTACAAGGCAGCTCTCAACCTTACCCAACCTACCACCAGAAATACCCACTCCGCTCTCAGCACTGCTGGACTCCACAAGAGGTTTTTCAGCGCTGCTCTTCACAAACCAGCCCGTCCAGCCAGGCTCCCGCGTGACCCGCGCTCAGCCCCACAGCCAAGGCGTCATCTCTGGCATCGCCGGGCTGCGGGTGCCCAGCCAGGGAGCCGAGAGCCAGCAGCACATCTCCCTCTTGCACCCAGTTCCTCTTTACAGGGGATTTACAGCTTTGTCCTTCACTGGAAGAACAAATATGCTTCATCTTGGCTCTCTGATCACAGTGACTGTCTCTCTCCACCACTCTACTCTGTCCTACTTCTTGGGTTTTGGGTTTTAGCATCATGAAAAATGATAAAATTAAAACACACTTATGCATTCCCAGTATAACCATTTACCATAGCACAGGCAAAAAATCCATGGAGAAAACGCACAGTGATTTTTTTTTTTCCAAGTGATGCTTTAAAATATAATATTCTGCATTCTACCTGCCATAATTCCGATCTCTCCTGTGTGGGTCCCAGCCTTCCTCCCTCAATAAGCAAAAAAGCCCTAGACTTCAGTTTGTCTCAGTTAATAAGCTTTTCTTGCATTTCAAAGTAATGTTCGTCTTTTACCAGACACTGAGCTGCCTGAAGCTCTCCAACGCTTTTACAGCAGACTGGTCAGCTGGCCTGCGAGGTGGGCGCCCACTGCTCACCTCCCCCCAGGAGCAAGAGGCTGAAGTTTATCTACGTGACATGGGCTTTGTTGGGTAAGAAACGACCACTACAGCATGTGGGTATCACTTCATTTATACAATCCGCCACCAGCCAGCCACCACAAAACTGTAGTAGTAGAAGCCAACAACTTTTAAGTATCACCCTGCATTTCAAGCAGGTGGACTGAAAGAAGGAATGCCAGACATTCATGTGTGTGTATCTCCCAAATTTGTGTGTTTTCCTCTGATAATTTCAATCCAAGGCCCTCACATTTCTAGTGGCAACAGAAAAACCTGTTTAATTAAATTGCTTTGCACATGCCACATGCTTTGTTCCAGCCTAATGCAAAACCATATGATGCTTTTCTGATAGTTTTTAGACAGAAATTCAGGGTTTTTTTTCCCCTCCCTAAACAATTAGCAACCACCCTCCCTCCAAACACCCACAATTCTACCCTCTCCTCCTCTGCAAATTAGTGTAAAGACTAAAGCAAACACTTTTTCCAAAATACTAGTTGTGGAAGCATAGCTTGCCATGCTGGTTCACTCGCATCAAATCAACAAGTTACTAGAAACAACCTAACAAAGGGCTTGGAAAACTAAGTCTGAGGTAGTAACTTATGCTACACAGACATACAGAGGGGTTGATCAGAAAAAAGATTTTTGCTGTCCAAATTTAAAGCCACCAGAGCAGTGAACTGACAGGCACCACATCTAAAAAGCAAATGGTTTTATGAGGCCACTTTCAGTTAGAACTCTTGGGGTTTTTTCCAAATACCCTTTGCATAGCAAGCTACATAAGCCCAATCTCTACGATTCTGAACATTCTCCACTACCTGCTACTATATCATACCCACCTTTCGTAAGCAATGTACAGGAATGCTTTACCAGTAGTAGTTTACAGCCTAGATACTAACTCTTGCTACCTAAAACCATCAGTCTCCCTGAACAGGCCCCCGTGGCAGAGCACTGGTGCTGGTGAGCAAACTGGAGCCTTGAGGTAGAGCAGGACCTGTGTCCCCGCAGGGCTGGGGCACCCCACCTCCCACCAAGGGTGGGCAAGGGGGGTGGCAAAAGGCAGCATAGACCCAGGGACAGTTACATGGCCTTGGTTAAAACCTCAAGAATTGTATTCTGAAGGCCAGTTAAAGAACTGGTGTGAGGCATCACCCGCTGCCTCCTGTGAAGTGAACTAAAAACCATGAAGAACCTGACCCACGCAACTGATTGGCTTTGCGGAGGGGAGCTCAGTGACGTACCACAAGATCATGCCCATGGGGAGAAAGTCTCTTACTTCCACAGCATCAACAGAGCAGCTGCATACCTGTGTCCCCAAGCACATCACAACCCAGTAATCACCCATCCAGAACAGACATTAACAATCCCCAGTGAATAAAAGCCACTGCTAGTTTTGGGCAGAAGTGCCACACCTTCTGGAGCAGCACCGGTAAGCTAATGAACTGCCCAGGGTTCTGATCCATACTTTTCTGTGGCTTGTTCATGAGTTCAAGCTGCCAGCCTAGCCATAAAGTGCTGACACTGCCTAGTTAGACGCACGTCCATAGAAATCAGTTGCTTTTTTATCAGCTTTTCCCCATTAATTATGCTTGGATACCAATTAAATACATGTCTGAAAAACTACCAGCTAAAAAACTTGCGGATCAAAATCAGAGTGCCTGCAGAACTTAATCAGGGTTGGCGTTTTTTTCCCTCCCTCTATTTTGTACTTTCTTTAATTGGAAATACTATATATATATATATATTTATGTAAACGCTTTCATCCTGCAAACATGCAAGCCTTTCACAAAATTTTACCAAAGTGGATGGAGGAGGGCAGACAACGTGGCTGATACATGGCAGACAAGCAATGGAGAGGCAATGCACTGAGGCATGCAGGATGAGAAGTGCTGAACATGCAGATGCGGGGATTAGGCTGGCACCAGATTAATGAGGTTTGAAGTTTGGTTAGCAAGGAAAACCAGAAGCCTGTTGAATCTGTGTACGATGCACCAAAAATCACACTTCGAATTCCTGAGACCTCATTTCATACCACCTCGAGGCAGGCTTGACAGAAGCAGTACTCAGAAAAACTACGCTTCTGTATTTGAAAATTGCTTTAGTAATGTCAGAGATTACATCCCAACTCGCTAGATACCAGATTTGGGGTTTTAGACAAAATAATTTCTGAAATTTGAAGTGTCTTGATTCTCCCAGTAGAAACTGTTTACATGACTGCCATCAGGTATCCGAACCCTCTCACTGTAATGCTGCTTCCAAACGGAGATCAAGACCGAATTGTAAAGGTTGCCTAAATCTTATTTATTCTGTATTAGAAATTTGTGATCAGCGAAAAACAGTGGGGCTTTACACAAATTCAACAAGTAAACTCAGCATGGATTTCATTACAATGGGATGGAGACAAGGCCCAAGCTCACCTTGGACGTCTTCTTCTCCACCATCACCATCCTCTTCCTCATTGTAAGCCAGCTCAGCCTGTTTGTCTGCCTCATACTCACCCACGTTACCATCATCCCCATTATAATCTGCCAGTTTAGAACCCTGCTGCGGATCAACAGGGGACTCATTCTCATCAAAGAATCGGCCTGTGAAGTAGGCAAAGGATTAAGTCAGAAGCAGAGAGGAAAGAAACAGGAAGATTCTAAACGAAAGCAGACCGCAGGTTAAGATAGTCGGGGTTTTGTAGTAGTTTCAGCTGGAGGAGAAGGGGTAGGAGGGAGAGGGCTTGGGCAGGGGGAGAACCAAGGCTTATGGAACCCCTCTGCAAAGGGTGTATGCGGTCACTCCGCATTCAGATCTTGTGAAATCCCATTGTTACAAGCTTCACTCTCCGGAGAAAGGAGCTGGAGTAAGAGTCCAACCAAACAGCTCCATCTTTGATTACCTACAAATACTAATAACAAGTTTTCTTAAAATCCTGAAGAGCATTCCATGGAAGCTTTTGTCTCTAGACTTTTTGCTGAGGAGGACTGGCATTTTCCTACCCACAACAGAGCAATATATTACTGACTTCGTATATGGGGACACCTGCAGCCTGTGCACCATGCTGCTGAGGGTGAAAACCTAGCAAGGACCTGCCCTGCACCTGTGAACTGATTTCTTTAACTACCTAATTAATTTGGCTTTACACTCTGGTTTCCTATTGAGCTTTAACAGTTTTCAAAGTGCTCTAAATCCAGTACTTTTGTATCCCAGCAAAGAATTAAGAATAGTTCCAGATACTGAAACAATGCATAAGAAAAATGAGAATTAGCTGGAACAATGAAACAACTGGACAGTCAAAGTTCAAAGCTGGTGTTTACTGGGATACGAGATCCATTCAAGTCCAGTGCAGCTCAGTCTGCTTGCCCATTCCTTGAAGAATGCAACACAGAGTCTGCAGAGGACACAAGTGTGGAGGGATTATGTATAAATGAAAAAATTAAAAAAGAAGGATTAAAGTGTGATACAATCTTTACAGATGGAAACGGACTGAGAAAAAAAGTCTGCCAAGGAAGATGTGAAGTGATTCATGCTGGAAGCAATTAAACAGAAGTAAAACTGAAGAACAGGATTTCAAAGTTAGGATTAAAAAGGAGGTTGGGGTTACAATGGACAGATGTAAAAATAAAATTATTTCTTAAAACAATGAAAATCATCGTATGTGGCAGCATATAAAAATCAGGACAGAAACAATAACACTGTGGTTATCTGGGTAGGGAGAGAAAAGCAGAAGAATCACATCTAGTGCAGCTCAAATGTACAGAAACAGAAGTTTCAGTTGTTTATGTAAAATAAGCAAGAAGAAACTATGATCTGTTTAGAAATCAGAAGTTTAAATATTATTCATTCTCTATTCATCCCTAATTGAGTAATCCTTGCTATGACTGTATTTTTGGACACTGCATTGTATATAAAAAGCAGACAGAACTGTACAACTCGTGCATATTAAATATCAAACAAGCTATGGAAAGACAACTGAATGCACTTAAGCTACAGAAAAAACAAGCCTGTAGATGTGTCAGAAATACCGTGACAAACAAGTACTGAACACATTTCAGCTGACAGAAGGTTAAAATGTTATCAAGGGATCCTGGGCCAGAGGTCTGCAAGCAGGAGCTCACCTGAGCACGCAGCCCCCGGGACAGCCCAGGCGAGCTCAGGCTGCAGCACCGCCCGGGGATGCGGCTGCTCTTCCACCGCAGAGGCTTTGTTCTGCTCTCAGCGTTGTGTATTTTAGCTCAAGCTACCCCACGCCAGGGGAGGAAAGGCCAAGCACACAAACCTCGCCGGCAGTGGGGAAGGGCCGGGCGGTCTGGCCCCACCGCGGGGCATGCAGTCAGGGGCACAAGAGGTTCAGGCAGCAGATGACTTCTCACACAGCGTGTGGGAGAATGTCCGTGCTCAGACACGAGGCACGTACAGCGAGTGGTCTGGGGATACCAAGACTTGAGGCAAACAGCAGTTGCCAGTAGTTGGACCCAGCAAGGCCCCCACTGAAACTGGTAAATCTGGAGTTGTGATGGCAGCGTGGATCTCTCTGAGCACTTCACAGCTGAGGCAGCATCTGTACCGCAGTGCTGCAGGGGCTGGCTCTGCGAGGCACACTGCAGTACGCTGGCCTGAAGCACGAGCGGTTAGTGACAGCACGGCGTACCCCATGAGGATGTCACCGATGCCAAAATCTGCAGGTAACATTTGCTGAAATGAATCCTGCGTAGACACAGGGGTATTACTCCAAGCTGGATCCCTACTCACACACTACTCAGAGCAACCATCCACCTGCTCATCACTAAGGACCTGCATACAGGACAGCTCCAAACAGCAGCCGATGGGAGAGCAGCTGCACCCAGCCTTTTCCCAGGGTGCAGGTAAGAGGCTCTGCTGCAGACACTTTCAGGTTCTGCTGCTTTTGAAAGCAAATGGCTGCAACGTGCCCATCTCTGCACCTAGTACCACACTTGCTTTTTCAATCTATGCTATCAAAATTAAGGAAAATATCTTTTGGGAAGACATTCTCCAATTCTGAAAGAGGACAGGTATGATAGATCCCCTAAGCAATGACGGTTCCTGGTCTCACCTCCAGGGCTGATGCACAGCACATTCTGAAGTGGTCGGTAACCAAAACCCCAGCAAAAGCTGTGTGCCAGAGCCAGGCTCCACTACCCCAGAGGGTTGAACTGATCACCGACAGACCCTTCAGAACAGCCACTGCCAACCCACCAGGAAATAAATCCTCTCCCAACCTGGATTAGCTACTGCCATATGTGACAGAGAAAGCCCCTCCCTCACTGCATCATCATAGCATACAATGTGAGTTGTTACAAATGTGAAGGAGCAAAGAGAAAATGAAAAGACTAGTGGGTGATGGTGGCTGACTCTCAGGTTCACAGCCTACAACAGAGACATTTCATTCACTGCTCCTGCCTACAAAGCTGGTCTCCTATCATCTAATCCACTGCCAGGGAAGGCAGCCAATCCATTTAAAAACCCCAACTGAAATATGAAGCCCAGTCATTTCTGCTGTAGCCACTCAGCCAGACAAGTGCAGGAATTCCAAGAAGCTCCTTGAATAAACTAAACAAGTCTTGCGCATCTCAGGATCCACAGAGTGGAAGAAAAGTTTGCACGGGTTGCATGCCAATTCTGAATATACCTATCCCTGCTTCATCAGAAAGATCCATGAGTGATAGTAAAATAACTGAAGCCTTCCCTAAAGATCTGTTTCTTAAAAATAACAACAGAGCCCCAACCCCTCCCCCAAACCAGCAAACTGATGTCCATTCTCCACCTCTTCAATCCTGGTATCGTATCCTGGTCTTTTTAGAGATTTTTATTCTCCCCTCCATAGTAAGCCCCACCCTTTTTTTTCCTCTTTCCTGAATTCCTTCCAGCTTTGTATTGTCTTTCTTTGATATCTAGAACCAGAGGACAGCCCCACAAGCACGAGGTAAACCAGAGTTAGCTATTCCCTCTCATGACCTTATTTCACATTCCTGTTCACACATCCCAGAAGAAAAACCTCACTTCAAACATCTGTCAGTGACCAATACCCACCATCAACCACATTAGTTTGACCGAGCTGCTCACTTGCTCTTTGTCCCTTACTCTACACATGCAATTCTCCATTCTCATTGCAGACTACTTTTATGTTTACAAACTTTTACGCTATTGAACCACATCTCATATATGGTTTATCATCCAGCACTCAAAATACCAAACAGTGGCAAATGCCCTAGGGATGCATCTTTGTAAAACTCACAGAAGCTTCTGCCTGGATATATGGTACCTATGCCTGGAATAGTCTTAAAGTTGTGCACCCACGAAACAACAATTTACTCCTGGCCAGGTATCCATTAATTTGCCTATGACAAAGTCACATTCTTGTTTTTACAGCTTCCATTCCTTTGAACACATACTTCTCAGATCATGTCCCTGACACAATCTGCTCTAGAGAAATCCATGTTAACCACTTGTCATACTGTATTCAAACCAATTGAGAATCTGTTCCCAGGTATCGGTGCTTGGCTGCTGGGTCTCCAGAACTCCTCAGACCCTCTTTCCACGCACTTTTCAAAGACATGTCTATTTGTGGTATGATGGTATCGCTCTCAAAGTTGTCAATGGTTCACAAACCATTTCTGGTAGCTTCTTAAGCCTCATGGATGAGGCCCGGCACAATCTACAGCCTCTGACCTTGGGGGACTACAAAGGCATGGGGGGAAGAGGAGAGAACACCCTCAGCTCCCCCATCCCTGTGCATCCCTTCGTGGCAGCGCACACCCCGCAGGCATCTGGTAACAAACTGGCTATATGCTCACAGGTCCCACTTCAATTTAACCTCTGCTTCAGAAGAGCAACTACAACATCTTACAAGAATAAATGGAGTATTATTTTAAACTTATTTCTCTGTTATTCAATTAATGTTTAGAAGATTGCTAGAGATTAACACTTTTCCTGCAGTTTCTCCAAGCTACAGATGTGCCAGTGAAGTTCTAGACCACGAAAAGGAGCCACAAGTTAATGCTAATGAGGGGAATTTGCCAAACTAAACCTTTTATGACAAAAAGGAATTCAGTTTCATGTTCCTGAGAGCAGCTCTAGCTTTCAGAATTCTTTTCATTGATGACTGAAACCAATTCATGATTCTATTTCAAAACTTCAAAATTACTATTTCTGTACCATTGTTTATCTAACCCACAACATTATCACAGGCTTCTGGCAGGAGGCTGTAGAACCCTTTTCTCCTCTCAGTTCTCCTGACTGCATATGGCTCTTCTGATGTGATAACTTGCCATCTTGGAGTAAAGGTTTTAATCAGAAAACAAAGTCTAAGTGAAAGCTACTTAGTTGTAAGTACAGACATTTATATAATTTATATAATAGCTAAAGAAAAATCTTATTTGGATAAAAAAAACCAAGAAGGGATGTTTCAGCAATATGTTTTTTCTTCCAAATGCCCCTTCCCCAACCAAATGCTAAACAATTGCAATTAGTTCTTTAAAAACAACTAGGTTAAGGCACAGAGTATACTGACTAGTTATACTAATACTTAGGAGTATAATATCTCCACCAATACCATAAGAAACTTTTTTCACTATAATGTTCCTGCAGTGCCCTGGCTTTGGCTGGGATGAGTTCATTCTTCCCAGCAGCCAGTGCAGCGCTGTGTGTTGGCTTCAGTGTGAGCACACTACTGGTAACACACTGATGCTCCAGCCGCTGCTAAGTGGCGCTTTGCCTACTTGAAGGATTTTTCAGTTCCCTGTGCTCTGCCAGCAAGGGGGTACACAAAAAGCAGGGAGGAAGCATGGCCAGGAAAGCTGACCCCAACTAGCCAAAGGGCTACTCCAGACTATATGGCACCAAGCCCAGTATAGAAACTGGGGGGACTTGGCCAGGAGGGGCAGATCCCTGCTCAGGCATCGGTCAGCAAGTGATTGCATTGCGCATTACATGTCTGTCTTGGGTTTTATTTAACTCAATCACAGAATCATCTCAGTTGGAAAAGACCTTGAAGATCATCTGGTCCAACCATTAACATCACACTGACTGTTACTCTTTTTATCTTCCTTTTCATTACTATTATTAATAATATATTGCCATATTTTATTTTAGTTATTAAACTGTTCTTATCTCAGTGCATGAGTTTTTCTTTTTCCAATTCTGGTCCCCATCCCACTGGGAGGAGCAAGTGGCTGCGTGGTGCTGGGCTCCAGCTGGGATTTCACCGCACCAGAGGGGCAGATGCCAAGGCGAGGGCCACAGGCGTGACACTCCCCAGCATTACATGTCAGCCCAAGGTCATCTCAAACCCAAGACCTCCCAGCCAGCTCTGTGCCTATTTACAAGTCCCTACCTGCTGCCTGCCCACTAAGCCTCAGCAGTGTCACCACCATCATACTCCATAAACAATGACACAGTTCACTCCTGTCTGGAGGCTTCTTCCTTGAGCAGACATGGAAGAGAAGGGTTCTGGAAAACGTCCTCAGGCAGAGAACAAATTTCTGGCCAATACACATATACCACCACAAAGACCCGCTATGCAAGGGATGAATTCTTATAATATTGTCCAAAACATCATATTTAAGTCAAGCAATACAGAGCAAATATAAGTAACTCAGTACCATGCATGTACCAAAAGACTTGACTTAATCTATTTAAATATGTAGCAATTTCCAAAAGCATTTTAAATTTCTATAAGCAAATAATTTTTTTAAATGACTGAATATATATATATGTAAGATGACACATCAAGGCGTATCTTTTACATAGTAACATACTACATTTCTTTCCAGGCTTACTCTCCACCACTGTAACAGTTCCTATTTTCCCAACAGGCACTATTACAGACAGAAAATGCAGTGATATTCTTAATATACTGAAGTATATTATATTGGCCAACTTACTTTGCTTCATCTTCTGCAAGTCACTAACTCTGCTCTTTGGAATTTTTATATTGTCTGTCTCAATTTTGTGCTCTTTCTGATTTTCCATATTTTCTTCAAAATTTAGGTGTTGGAGAGAATTTGGAGGTATCTGCTTTGCCACATCAGCATTTCCATCATCGTCACTGTGCAAACCTACAGAATGAGGAAGCATATTGGGTTTTTACATGGTTCCAAAAAAAGGCTACAACCTTACTGCAAAAGATAATTCATCACATTTTAATACATAATCAATCCTAAGTCATTACCTTCTCACCTGATTTTCTGTATGTACTTAAGCACTTGATGAAGCCCAGAACAATACGTTTATGGGGGTTTTTTTTTATCCTCCTGCTGATTCTGCTTTATAAATCTACTAAGCATCATTTATTGTTTCAAGAGCTATGATCTGAGGAGAAGGTTGCAGTAGGTCACAGGAGTTATGCTAAAAATAATAAGCAGTATCACAGGACTACATAACCAAGGAATACAGAAAATCCCGGTCCCCCTGAAATTCACATCAACCTTTTGTTAATAAATTCTAAATTCAACAAAGCAAGCTTTCCACTTGTTATCTTTTATATTTTCTCATTAATAAAAGTCAAAATGAAGGACTATCTCAGAACAAAAAAAAAAAAACTATTTTAAAAATTTGACATTTGGAAATAATAAACTTTAAACTTGTATATAGACCTTGAGCTCAGTAATTTTGGTATTCTAACCTGCTTACACATCCACTGCAAAAAAAATAATTAAGAAACGTCTGTTGCCTTTTTTCAAAAGAACCAATAATGGGCATAATGAAAAGCTCCAAGCTGTTTGGTCATGTCACAAATACATAACAAGCACATTATATTTAATGTTTTTTAGCAGAACAGTATTTGAACATGCAACTTGCAGGGCAGATATAATCTTCTCTTTCACATTAAAGCAAAGTGACTTGATCCATGAGCATTAAATTTAAGTTTATTTTCTATGGATTTGTGTCCTTTCTAACTGCAACTCTTCTAAACCCCTTCACTGCAGTACTTTTAGTTCTCTCACATCCTAAACCTCCCCCGCATCACCCTCAAGCGAGCTGTTCACAGAAACAGGAGGGCACTGAGCAGGTGATAGTACCACTGGTTAATCTCTGCATATAACCAGCTACCAAGAGATCAACAATCAACTCCTGGTGATAAGTTGCAGTCCTGTAATACCCCTAAGGAGGAATACTAATTTCAATTACTCCCCACTGCCCAGTGGAGAAATCTTGAAGCATTTATTTTTGAAACTTCTAACTCTCAAATTTGGCTGAAGTTGATCAGAAGGCTCAGAAATTATTGGCTGTGTGGGAGATGAAAAGAGGTCACACAGCCAGCAACCTGAGTGCCTCAGGAAGCCAGACTAAATACACTCCATCTTGTATCCTGTAAAAATTGATCGTTGTTTTTCTTTCTGTAACCACATCAAACACAAAGAAGGGGCTGGCCATGTGCATCTAACATTCACGACAGGGCAGCAGATATTAAATGCCAAGTTTCCTACAAAATGTTGATAAATGTTGTCACCTGCTAGTAAGAATTTTACCTGGTGCCAGATTTGGAGCATGGGGCTGTTCAGTAGGAAGATTTACAACAGGCTGATGACCTTCACTTTTAGGAGCTGAAATAAGGGGCTTCTTTAAAGCTAAAAAAAAAAAAAAGGACAAAAGAATTAACATGAAAAAAACAGACACTCTATACCAGGTCTTCCTCTAAAAATCCTGTAAAAGTTTTTGTTGTTTTCTTACTTTTAAACCACGGGTGAAAATATAAAATACAGGACTGGGGGCAGAGGTGTGTGTGTAGTTATCTGAAGCATTCAGGTTTGAATATTCAAACCTGTAAAGCACAGTAAAAATGATCATATTTTACACCCCACTTGAATTTTATTACCACAGACAGATTTTAAAACTTTGCATTCACTATGAAACACATGGTATTCAAACAGAATACATACACCACCAAGAACCCAAATGTGTAAGTATTAGAGTATTTCTCCTAACCAGTGGGAGTATCTTCAGCTTTAGCAGGGTCATTATCTTCTATTTCAGGCATGCCTGCATCTCCTCCTGGTTTGATTTTCTCTGTAACGCAAGAATAGGATATTCTGAAGTTTGAACAGTTAATTTCCCTCTTGTGGAAGGCTCCAAGAACAGAAAAGTCCTTTACCCACAGAACATGTCCCAGATTGATAACGCAACTACAGCACTCCTTATCCTGCACTGCCGAAGTCCCTGGAGCCTCTCTGGAGCAGTGCTCCCCACCTCAGTGCAACCTTCAGAAGGATGGGAAACAGACGCTCTGCTCTTGGTAGCAGAGTAAGAGAAGCCTGCTGCAAGAAGCTGGCCAGAACAGACACTGGACTGATACAAACTGGTGCTGATTCAGCAGCACAAGAAGCAAAACCAAAGGGAACTCACCTGCCTTTTGGGGAAACACCCACAACAGCCACTCGCTGAGAGTCACCTGTACAGCTCCTGACAACCAAAGGTCCCCACCACTCCTGACTTACCCAGCTGGAGGCTTCTCCCAGCTGTTCCAATGCTCCTCGCCTCCAGCTACCTTCTCTGGGCAGATTCCAGCTCTCCAACAACGTGCCCCTTCCCTAGCCCAGCCCAGGACACATCTGCCAGACAGAGGAGAGGCTGCCCCCAGCCCACAACTGGCCACAGTGGGAAGGAGATGCCAACTGAACCAACAAAGTGAACACAAAACTGCACAAGAAACTACTTTCATAAAAGGAGCTGGAGAAGACACACCAATCTCTGGATACCTATAAACTCTAACTTAGTACAATCCCATGCAGCTAATCAAGTTATCTGAGCCAAATAATTGACAGCCGGCTGAATATGAGCCAGCAGTGTGCTCAGGTGGCCAAGGCCGCCAATGGCATCCTGGCTTGTATCAGGATTAGTGTGGCCAGCAGGGACAGGGAAGTGATCTTGCCCCTGTATTTGGCACTGGTTAGGCTGCACCTTGATTACTCTGCTCAGTTTTGGGCCCCTCAATACAAAAAAGGACATAGAGTTACTCGAGCATGTCCAGAGAAGGGCTGCAAAGCTGGTCAAGGGTCTGGAATACATGTCCTATGAGGAGCAGCTGAGGGAACTGGGATTGTTTAGTCTGGAGAAGAGGAGGCTGAGGGGAGACCTTACCACCCTCTACAACTACCTGAAAGGAAGCTGCAGAGAGCTGGGTTTGAGCCTCTTTAGCTTGTAGAAAGCAACAGGACAAGAGGAAATGGCCTCAAAGTTGCGCCAGGGAAAGTTCAGACTAGATATTAGGAAGCACTTCTTTACTGAACGGGTTGTTAGGCATTGGAATGGGCTGTCCAGGGAGGTGGTGGAGTCCCCATCCCTGGAGGTGTTCAAGTGTAGGGTCGATTTAGAGCTTAAGGATATGCTGTAGCTGGGAACTGTGCTAGGCGAACAGTCGGACTAGATGATCTCCAGGGTCCTTTCCAACCTAGATGATTCTGTGTGATTGTTCTACTTCAGAGATGTCAGCAAAGGACGCAACACAACTGGTCCATTATGTATCAGAAATGATAAAACAAAGGAAATACCTTTGCCATTTACAACATGATCTGAAGGCTGCTCATTCTTGACTGCGTTTTTATCTTCTGCCTCTGGAACAGTCCTAGATATTGCCTGGTCATCATTACTGGGGCTTACTTCAGTGTCTTTGCTGGACTGACTTTTTTGTGTGGCCTGTTAGAACAAATTTATAAGAAACTAATATTAGGCACATCCCTGAAAATTACAAAACAAATGTCCTCGAATTCAAGATCACTTCTGGTAAGCAAAATCACATTTATGAATTAGATGATCACCAAAGCAAACAATAGCAAGAGTCCTCTATATACAAACCTAAATCCTGAGGGTAGGAGATGAGAGCATGGAGATGTAATAGAAAATGTAAAATGCAGCATAGCTGTACAACGTTTGCATTGCCATATGCAGCTCTTAAGTATAATGCAAACAGGTCAAGACATCATTGGCCTTAAGCCTCAGGTCACAGACTTTGAAACAATTCTAGATTTTAAGAACAGATCTGACCAAAATCAACTTTAAGTCTTCCTTATTATTTGAAATGTTTGTAAATAAAGACAAAGAAAGGAAATGCATTTTTAAGAAAAGCAGTTATTTCATCTGTTTGTACGAAGGAGGCCCATATTCTACTGGCAGCTTGCACCATATAATGACACCCTTGATACTATTCAAATACCGTTGTTATTTGCATCACATTAGCACCTCGAGGCCTCAGCAGAGATCAGGTTCTTCTCTGCAATAACCTATATAAGGGTGTAAGAACACAGATCCCACTCTGGAGAGCTATAAAGTAATATCCATTTTACACAGAAAAACTAAAATCCTTAGCAATGATGTCATGTAGGAAGGCTGCAGCAGAGCAAAGAATTAAGCCTGATATTCAAGGCTTAGTTCATTGACAGAGCAGAAGAGGCAAATGTTCTTACACCAACACCCACTCAGGGCTGCTTGGGATGCTATTTAATGAAAAGTTAGAGGAAAAATGTCCAAGGCCTCCATATATTTGAAGTGCTGAGTCGAACAGCAGACTGTGGGCTATTTTAATTCAACAGAGAAACTTAGCTGCCCCTTACCTTTTGTTCCCGCGCAACTTGGTCCAGTAGTTTCTTTATGTTTTCTTCATGTTGCAGTTTCATTTCCTTGATCTGCTGACTACACTGCAGACTTGATTAGAAACACATTATTAATTATATTTCATTTGTCGTATCTGCTCTCCCATAAATAGAACAGGGGGAAAAATATGAAGTGGCACAAAAAGCCAAAGCTGAGATATAATTAGAATAGTCTGTCCAAAAAGCCTTGTCCTGGAATGTGTATAGAGTGGAAACGGACTGAATACAGAAAGAAAGCAGAACTGGAAAAAATAGGGACAGAGCAAAAAGACAGTAAAATAAACAGAATGGCCTTGAACATATTTCCTCCAAAACCTGGAAAGCGACTGAAAAGTCAAGCTCCACAGTTAATCTGTCATCAGCATATATTAATTCCGCTAGGAAGGCAATACATCTCCCATGGCTGTCAACACAGAAGATGCACAACTACCACTATCAGTTACTGCTACCAATGCAAGTAACAAGAGCTGAATGACACAGCTAAGTGGCCCAGCTCCTCAAACAAACCACACGCAGATCAACCCAATTCAACAGAACTCCTGCTTCCCACAAACCCGCAAGTACTCAACATCTCACCTGAAGAATATTTTTATGTGCAAAAGTTTTGAACATTGTCTCAAGTGTTAATCTCCCCTATTCCTCACATCTTCAGAAGCAGTTGTTCTCCCTGCTTCTCCATCACAAACTTAAAAGGCTGAGGTCAACTTAAAAATTTCAATATACGGAGTGCTTTCAAATTCAGCTGAAAAAAATGTAGCTACACTTTTAGAAAAACAGCAGTTTACAACCTTGGTGGCTTATAGAACTGTGTCAATTAAACTCTTCCAAGTATTTGTTAACCAAGATCTCCATGTTAGAAAAAACCCTATTGACTTAAAATTGTCCAACGTTGAAAAATTCCAGTAAGTCAGATTTTTCTTAGAACATATCTCACTTTGGAGGGAGAAGTAGAACAACACAAAAAATATAACTTTAAAATCAAACAACTAGCTAAATCGAAGTCACATCACCAAATGAGTACACTCAAATCTAAGGATTAGCAGAAACAGGATTAATTGGCCTACAGACCTCCATTACACACACACACACACACACACACAAACACTACAGTTACTAGCATTCTTGAAGACCTACCTGTCATATTCCAATCTCCTGGTCAGATAAGTATTGTTCTTCTTGTACTCGTGAAGCTGATCTTCCTGGCGAATGAATTCCTGACGTAATTCTGCTAGTTGTTCTAGACGAAAAAGCAAAAATCAACATGAATAAAAAAATATAAGAAAAAATGCCCCATGGCTGATACAACGCTCAATATTGCTACACAGGTTAAAAATATGCTCAAGTTTAATGTTATTTCTTCTAGATATACTTCAAAGATTCTTAAACTAACTTGAAAGAGATGCCAATTTACTCATGGATGCCAGATGCCAGCATGAATTACAGACCAATTCTTCTGATACTGCGCCAAAACCCCTAAATTTTTCTTTCCAATTTCATTCAAAAGATGTACACAATACTATTTCACCTCTCTGCAGGAAATCTCCTTAATTTCCTGAAAGATTCTGTTATTCCGAGGAACACAAGTACTACTAGGTTGCTTTAGGCATGATGGTCAAATATTCTTTTTCTGCAATAAGTGTAGAGAATAAGTTACCTTCACACTATCTGTAAAATCAATATATATTTCTTGTCTTCACAATTATTCTAGAAGTTTTCCTTCCTGCTCCTCAGGCTACAAATAATTGATAAGCTTCCTACTATTTGAAGTTGCAACTACATAGATACAGGCAGAAATGCCAAGTACATTGTCTGCAGGCATGTTCAAATTTTGACATTAGCTGTCCCAGGTCACTCTGAAATCCATAAGATAACAGGCATTGTAATCCTGCCTGTTATCTATCAGACTTAAAAGATATTTTCTGGACCTTTTCTAAGCCAGCATAAGTATCACAGCATTGTTGATCCAAACTACACTAAACTGTGTATTTGGTCATGAAAATAATTCTAGTATCTTGGAAGTAAGCAGTGCAGAACACATGACAGTAGAGCAAAGTCTACGAGAGCCAACCCGACACTTCTCTAAACCAGGGAATAAGCAAATATAATGAAATCTCACATTCTGTGATGTTCCAGCACCACTTGATCCTTCCTTTACAATGTATTCTGCAGTACCTAGGCAGTTAAGAAAATACACAACTTCACAGCCTGCCAAATCACCGTTTGGTCATAAATTTCTTACCCTTTAAACGATGTATGTCTGCCATTTGATAGGATATGTTGTTCTGCAGCTTAATCTGAAAGGAAGAAATGGTTATATAAATACAGCCCGTCGGCAGGTTAGAGAGGGTTCAGACTGCCAAGACTCAGGTGCATTGTAAAGACAATTTAAGTGAAGGATTATCAGAACAATGTATATACAAAGTTCTTCTAAATATAAGTAATCTATGTTTAGTGACCTATAAGTGATTTCACCAACCTAAACACTGTATTTAGGCTTTGCTAACAAGGACTTAAATTTATATCCAGAACATATTTCTATCAAAAAAGCAGATTCTGTCAGGACTAAAATAAACACACTGCATTCTGATACTGCAGGAGGAGATGATGAATTTCCAATGTCAACACATAAGCATATAAAAATAAACACACAGCATCATTAGCAAAAACAATTTTTACATAATGTACATTCAAAATAAATTTTTTATATGATGTACCTAATAATCATAATACAGTTTATTTTTAAGTGAGAATGTGACATCAGTAGACTTCCACAACGGCTTTTAATTTGATATTTTTAGTAAGAAAAAAATAGCAGTTACAATAAATAAGAAATGTATGTACACAGTGTCATTAAGATGCTTTGTCTTGTTCTTACAGAAAGACATATGCAAAGACAAAAAAATAGCAAACATGAAGAGAAAGATGCACATGTCGAACTTGCTGAGAACGGGCAAAAAAATCCACCACTGTCATCAGGCAACACTGGTGCTGTAATTATTTTTCTTGTAGTTTCATGATGGGTATAAACAGTAACTCTAGAAAGGTGCTGGAAGATCGCTGTCATTCTTGGGTTACAAGGTCAGAACTACCTCTGGGAATACCAAGATGAAGCACAAGTGCGGGGCAGGGGATACACACACACAGAGGCTATTTCAACTCCCCCACAGATTCTGCAGCTTAATGGCTGAGTCAGTTCCCTACATTTCCTGTCAAAACAAACAAAACAGACATATGCCCTTACTTTAAGACTTCCTCCACCCACCTCTACCTTCTCTTTTATCGAATTACTCATTTCTGTAAAAAAGTTTCATGTAATGTTTTGGTTTTTACAGCGTCACTCAAGCTCTGGGGGCCTGACTCAGTCTGTTCCACATGGACTCAGGGAGGCATCTGTGACTTCAGGAACTACGGCCCTACCAGAACTGCTGAAATCGTGATTTTCTGCAGAACAGAGTGTACACAGAGGCACACATCCAAGAGCTCCAGCCACATAAAAGAGGCTCCTTATGAAACAGAGCGCTCCGTCGAGAGTTTTGTTTGCGCCAGACTGCGGTATCCCGGCTCGTCCCTCTCAGCAGCGCTCACACGGGCAGCGCCGGCAGCAAACGTTGCCCCGTGGCCCGGAACAAGCGCCAAGAGGGTTTCTGGAGAGGCACCACCGCGATGGCAGGAACGCCCAACCACTTCACAGGCTTTTTCCAAAAAAAGAAGGACTGGCAAATGACGCAATCTTTTGGAAACCCGAGAACCCTGACCATACTGCTCTGAAATCCAACACAAAATAAAAACACCCAACAGGGACACTTAAGGAACCGGCTCAGCACATTCGAGAAGCAGCTACACATGTGCTCTGCCCCCCAAGACATTTAAGGCACTCCAGTCACAGGATGCGCAAAGAAAAATACACAAATAAAATGAAAGGCTGCATTGGACTTCCTGTGCTTTATTTCAAAACACAAGTAAGCCCCGTGGCGGGAACTTCACACAGAAGCACAAGCCAAAAGCCAAGCCCTTCCATTCCAACAGGTGCCCATCTTGCCAGCTCTCCATCAAACAGGCACCAGGACAGGGGAACAGATACAAAGAGTGATTTGTTGAGTGGTAATGAGAAAGTATCTTTCCCTACTTTGCAAAGCCACTGGTGATAACAACCAAATTTTTTCCTGTCTTCCACTCTAATGCAGTTCTCCCCCAGAACCCAGTAAATCCACAGAGGAGATCCTGGGAAGTAGCAGGTTCTGTTTTCAAACCTTCATCTATCAGACCTCATATCACAGAAAGCCTTCCCACTGGCTTGCTTCTGCTCAGCCTATAAAACATTTGACTTGGAATGGGCTGGAGGAGGGCTGCCTGTCTGTTAACAGGAGTTTGATTTGAAGATAGCATCAGCTTTATCACACAATCTTTCATTTTGGCAATTTAGAGTTTCAGAGAAAAGTGACAGAATTTATATCCAAAACAGCTCAGCTGACAGTGAATGTCCCTCATCTGAAGGATAGAAAGCGAAGAAGCTTTTTTATGATTCATGGGATCTGTTCCACCTACACATGCAAAAAAACCACACTCCAGAAACCATGGCACTAGTCCAGTTCTTTCTGAGCTGTGTCCTCTGAGAGTCTAGACCTGTTTGTGCTGTTTGTATTTCTCAGTGGCTTCTCAGATCCTTCCTAAAGCAGATGGGATATATAAAAGAAATTCTCTGTGGCCCAGTGAGCTCTGTGCAGGAAAAAAACATCAAAGATCCCGTGCATGTTGGAGCTATATACATGCAAGGCAACCTTCCAGTGCTGTCTGAAGTGTAACGGTCTCCTTATGAAGTGAAAGGCAATGTAAGGGAGGAAAGTTCTGAACACACTGGAGCTTATCTGTGTATAACAGGGCGGAATGCAGGTGGCATTGCTCTCCGATGAAGTTTGCGGTAAATGGCAAACCTCCACCCGTATTCCCTGCTGAGTCGTTTCTTTATCTAGCAAGAACACCCTCTGAATGGCCTGTGTCCATGGCCCTCCGTGCAGATTCCCCAGCCTGGGCGTTCCCAATGCGCTGCCAGGGCACAGGACAGCTGTTTAGAAGGCTGCTTGCACAAGGGTCTATGTGCCACAGCTCCGTGATCTCCCTACTACCGCCAGCTGCCTTTTTCAGAATAGGCAGTGCTACCAGCAAGCAATTAGTGCAGTGTTAGAGGTAATGCTGTGATCATCAGGAACACGCCCTAAGACTGGAAGAGGCACTCAACATCACTACTGCAAAGCTACAGCGTTGCAGACGGAGGAGCTATCAAGGAGTTTTGGCAACAAAGAATATAACCAGCTGCTCCCAAGGATGTTTGACTAAACAGTTTCATCCTATGATGCACCATTTCTAGGCACCATGTCTAGGGGCAAGCTGTATCACACACCTGGCACGACCAGCAGCAGCTCTGGAATGAGAAAGGCAAGCTCCCCAGAGCCGTGCTAGCAAACACACCGCTACCAACCCCTACGCGCTGGCTGGCGGCCACCTGGAAGCTCTCCACCACAAATTCCTGCCATTCAATCATTTTATCGAGCTTATTGCAAAGGGATGTGTAGAGCTATGAAAAAAAAAAAAAAGTATCCTCATGGTATGCTACAAAAGATCATGAGATACTTAGGAAATTAATGCTACCTTGGTGTGCACCATCTCCCCAAGCACCGCGGGGGCTGCTACTACCCCTGTTTGCCACCCACAAGGAGCTCCAAAAGTCCAGAAGACTATCATGAACTCATCACAGGGTGACAGGAGAATTCCCCAAAACCCAGGCTTTTTTAATTTCCTTTTTTTTTTTTATTTTTTTTGGAACACAAGACACTAGGTCACGGTAGTACATTTGCTCGTAAGAGCAAACAATATTCTGGTGCAGTGTGACTGGCTTGTTACGCATGCAGGGAGAGGGAGGAGACAGACAAGGGTTTGGGCTTGACTACTGATATCACTGAGCTAGGAGGAAGCTGCCTGCAGAAATTCAAGTTGCCTCAACACTGGTAAACACACACTTGATTTATATGACCACAAAGCAAAGAAACTAACGAAGACAAAGCAGCATAAAGCAGAACTGACACCATGATAACCACCAGAGCAGCATTTTTCAAAGGAGTTTTCTATGAAACAAGCCTAGATCTGTTGTGATTGCTTGATACCCTGGGAATTACCAGTGTCACTGTTTTAGTACAGCTCCTGAATTTCACAGATGGACTAAGATCATTGGTAAAAACCAGTTTGTTCAAAGAACATCCTTGCTTAATTCTATTTTAAGAGGAAAAAAAATATCATATAAGCCTTTTTTTGATCACATTATGCCTACTACTTGCTATTTTTTTTTGTAAAATAGCTTTATTCTCTAAAGCAGAGCTTTATTCTCTACTCTCTGAAGTACAGTCACTTAAAGGGGTTTTTTAGACAAAAGGATTGTTGCCACTGAGAACATGACAGTAGCTCACATGGGAGGAAATGAGAAAGGGACAGTGACTGGTTATTAATAAAACATACCGCTGTTCTTGCCTGTTAAGGCACACTAAACATTTTGAACACAAGAAGAGAGGATATTCAAAAGCTACTAGCTTAAATGGCAGCTTCTGGAACAAAGACTAAAGATAAGGGCATACACTGCAGTATGCATACAATTAACAATAAAATTAATTGCAGAGGTTTACTAGCCACATTTCTCTTGCCCCCCTCCTACGAGATGCCAGACTCTGAGAGTGTTCAAATACCAGCCAGATTTATGGAGAACACCACAACGGTCAGCAGGCAGGTGCAGCTCAACAGCACTTTTGTATCATCTGCAAAGCGGGGTCTGGCTTCCAGTAACCCTTCCTAGACACCCTGACTTCACACTTGCATTTTCTCTCCTGGCATCCTATAGCAAAACACCACAGATTTGAAAAAAAAAAAATAAAAATCTTGTATTAAAAGCAAGCCTCGCCATGCAGCCCAGTAACTGATAGCTTACTCAAATATCACCAGTGGAGTTTTACACCTGGCAGTCAGTTACAATAATGCATGAAACAAGTTCAGTGCCCTGTGAACAGAGGCTAAACCACAAGAACACAAAATCAACTTCACCTACACAGAGAGCAGCCATACTGCAAACACCCACCTATATTCATTTCCTTGCACACCCTCAGCCACTTCCCCCCCAAGTCTGCAGTTGGAGGCAGTTTCAGGGCATTTACCAGCCCTCAGCAGTCCTCCTCTGTTAATTTATCCAGTCTAGCCCAAACTCATGTTATTTTACTATCCTCAGCAGACCGAGAAAGGGAGTTCCAACTCAGTGCCGTGACTGGCCACTGCCTGTGTTTTCAAGCTACTACCATCTTTGTGTGCTTGCTTTTATCGAAGAGGGCAATAAACAACTAAACTAAACCGATTTGCCTGTAAAAGTTCAATTTAAAAAAACAAACAACAAAAAAACAAATCAAAAACCCCAACCATTTAGAAAACTACTAGTTTCCTGTCTTTTACACGGGGAAGCATCTTTGTTGAAACCTAACAGCTTTAAGTTCAGCTTCTCTTAGACTTATTTTCATATTTATATAGAATACTTATTTATAAATTAAACTAGATTTTATAGCATCACAATATTTTTAATCGCAATGGTGTTAGTTGCATTGATTTCCAATGGAGAGCACCAGTATCCACTATTACATATATAATCAGGCTTTTTATTCCAATCTCAGAACAAAAATTAAAAAATAAAAGAACATGTTTGCTGAATACACAAATGGCTTAATTTTAATGGTTCAGTAGGAAAGAAAATATAACTTTAATACAAACTTAATCGGTTTGAATGAGTCTAATTCTGTAACACAACATGTATGTATTCAGATTTTTCTGTGACAATTAAATGCATTTTCTTATCCTGCTCATCAAATGTGTGATATGAAAGGGCCAGAAAAACAAACTCAGCCAGTAATAAGTCTGAGAGTGCAATATTTCCATAAATCCTGCTGTGATAAACAGTGTTCAATTAGCAGAATTCTCAACTGCATGCAAATAGAGTACACTCTACCATACACGACTGAGTAAAAGAACTTGCCTGCTGTCTCCTCTGTGAAGAGTTGCCTGGGATGATTATGAAGGTGGAACAGTGAAAGTTGATGCATTCACTCTTTTTCCCTTCAGCAACAAAAGAAGTGCCCGGGCCACCTCCACATAAAAGGGCAAGCTGAATTCTGTATTCGCTTGTCTCTTTGCAGCTGATGAAATTGACAAGTTATATCAGCAGCAAGGCTTTTTTTTTTTTTTTTTACCAAGCATATGCCCACTGCATAAGAAGCAGACCCTGATGTGCCTGGCATTTTGAAAGACACAGGGAAAGGCTCAGGGCTGCTACACCTGAACATTGTATTTATCGTCCTTGAAGCCAAGCAAACTAGTTTTAAGGCAGTGTACAGCTTTCTGACTGACCACAAAAGATCAAGTAATCTCAGCAGAGGAGGAAAGTTCAAAAATAATAATTTAACAGCCATCTGTAAGACAGTGAGGTCTCGGTGTTTTGCTTGTTAGCACACATGCGGCCTTTGCTGGCCATTTTCAGCTCTTTTCTGGGATGCATTCAGAAACCTGCCAAGGTCCCAGCTCAACCAAAGCCAACGCACCAGCTCTAGACACCAGTGCCTTGGGGGGGCCTCTCACCCTCGGGTTGCAGGGACACCGGCCGGCACTCCGGGCAGAGGCACCCCCTAGGGCGCCGGGGATCCCCCCCGCCACCCCCGGGCTTGGCTGCCCCCTCCGCGTTACCTTGCTGTCCTCGCACTTCTTCACCTGGCCGTCCCTAGCCTGAAGCTGGCTGCTGAGGTGGCTGTTGTCGGCCTCCTTCTGCTCCAGCTGCTTCTTGTGCGAGTCGACCTTGCCCATCAGGTCCGAGTTCCTCTTCTCCAGCCGGCCCCGGGCCACCTCGGTGCGCTTGGCCTGGCTCTGCAACTCCGCCACCTCCTCCTGCAGCAGGGCCTGGCGGGACGAAGCGTTCCAGCAGTTGAAGGCGAGGATGGCGATCACCACCAGCAGCGCCACGAAGACAAGGGAAGGCAGACGGCCGCCCCTCCGGTTGGCCCCGAAGCCCACCATGGAGGAGGCCGCCGGGCGGGGGCTTCACCCGCTCACCGCCTCCGCCCGCACCTGAGAGGGGAGAAGCAAGCACAAGGGTTCTGCATGCACTTACTTTGTGAAAACCTGAACACTGAGAAAGGAAATGTTTGTCCAAGAATTTTAAATACAACATAAATGTAACAAATCTGAGCTCAGAACTATACCTGAATTTCATGTTGGTTTCTTACCAACCTGTAAAAAGTCTGCTCAGAAATCATCTCTCTTCACATAGTGCTCAGTGATATTTCCCTGCTCTTGTTTAAGCCATTTTTGTTAAGACACTGTGCAAGGTCCCAGCTCCAGAGCTGGCAGCAAACAATCTCCCTCTCAGCAGGGAGCTGCATCAGCTTGGGTGAGAACTGGCCCCTGCACTGTTTTTGTGGTTGCCTTTGCATATCTGGGAGGTGAGGCAATGCCAAGCAGTTTTCTTTTTCTAATTAATTTGCCATTTCATTTCAGCTGTGTTCCAGGCACCGTGATCTAGTCCTAGTCTGTTTTTTTCCTGTTTGGAAAGGCTGTATTCCTGCTCCCTCTTCCTGAGCTTCCAACTGTAATCTTACATTATGTGTTGGAATATGTATCTCTTGGTATCTTCAGCTCAACCTCTGACCAGGATCTCGGCAAGTCCTTCACAGTGGTTTGTCTTGGCTTCTCTGGCTCTTGACCTTACCACAGTGTTACAGAAATACCCATTATCTGGTGCACACTGCATAGTTGTCATTGTGAAACACAATGCAAGCATAAGAACTAAGTATTAAACTCGGTACTGATCTTGGACAGACTGAAGGATGCAAAGAAGAAAAATTGTTCAGGATTGTATCAAACCTTACGTGCTTTCAACAGATCTTTCTGTTGCAGAGCTGCTCTGTGAGGTTAGCTGTAAGGCATTCACATTTAGCATCCTTGTAGAAATAAAAAAAGTCAAAACATACAATAGTAATTTTTAGGAGCTATGCAAAGCAAGGAGGCTTGTCCAAAGAAAGGTGTTTAAGGGGTTGTGATGCGGAGGCTGCTTCAAGGCAGAGTATTTGAAACCCACCTCAGAGGCAGGTCACATCAAAAACACAAGGTCTCAGAAATTACAGTGTACTTTAACAGAGCTGGAGAGACTATTTAATGTTAAAAGAAACAGAAGTTGTGTCCAAACAAAGAAAATAGAAATGAAATCTGTGAAGTTAAAAGTAGAACTATCCTGTGGCAATCAGGGTGATCTCAAAGAAAAACTTGCTGAAGGCATACAAAAATGCCCCCATGCATTAGAATTAAAACATGATCACCTGCCATCTTAACATCTTCGGCAAAAGTGTGAAAAGAAGCAATCAAGGAGACATAAGGCTGTAACAGAAAAGACACCGCATTTCTATTCACTGCAGAAGATTCCCCATAGAGCAGAGCCTTTTCTTGGGGTGGGTGTATGTTGGATGAACTGGAAATGTCAGTGGAGTTTAAGTGTTAGAGTGACTGATGAGATATTCAGGACTAGAACACAAGATTTTTAAGGAACGTGGACATGACATGACTTAATTACTGGCAGTGGTTCCAGCTAGGTGGCCAGGACACTGGTTTAACCAATCTCCCCCAGGAGTGACCTGAAGAATGACAGAAGCCTGACCAGGCGGGTTGATCCAAGCTGCATGTACTAGAACAAGTCGATCAGCAGATAGAGATGGTATATTTGAGAGTGTCAGCACTGCTCTTCGAAGAAAGGTCAGTTCTCTAGATCTCATGAGAGATTTGTGACGGAGTAAAAAAGCAAATGCTTGTGGTTGATTTGATCATCATAATGCACTCGAATGTTTATGAAAAGCCCTTGCCAAAGGTTCTTAAACTATTAAGCTATAAAGTAAGAAGAAAAGTTTGCTTATGAATTAGCAATTAAGTAAAAGCTAGGAAGAAGGGAGAAAGTAGCTTCTTTACTAGTGACATGACAGTTTGTGACCTGACTTTTTCCAGGTATTCATAAGCAATCTGAGGAAAAAAATTAATAACAAGATGATATCATTTGTGGAAGTTATGTATTATTTTTCATTATAATCAAAAGTGAAGCTAACTAGAAAGGGTTACTGAGTTTCATGACACTGGATAACTGAGTAAATAGACCAGCAGAGGAATTCAGTTTTGATAAATGTCAAATAATGCGTACAGGAGAAAGAAAATTATCACAACGCCACATGTGCAGTAGGCTCAGCTCTCTCTGATAATGTCTCCTTTATCCTCATGGGTGTTAAAAAAAGGGGATGAGAAAAGTGAAGTAAATGCTGGGAATTGGCAAGATATAAATTAAGAATGAAATGGAAGCTACTGTCAGTGTACAAGTTTTCACTGCTTTTCTGCACCTTGAATGCTGCATTTCCAATCAGAAAGTTATAAAGAGGTTACAGAATGAGGGGTTATCAAAGGTGGCTTTTGCTCGAGGAGAGAGCAAGGGAGTTTGGAAAGGAGGACAGGGAGAAGGACTGTGATAAAAAATGATGAATGGTATGGAGAAAGTGAATAGGAAAGATTATTTAGTGTTTCTTTTGCTAGTACAAGTGACAGGCACTGGGTAAAATAACTAGCCAGCAGTATTAAAGAGAAGGACATACTTTTTGCACACACTGCACAATTTAATTGTGCATCACCACTGCTGTGTTGTGAAGGTCAAAATACAAATGAATTTTAAAAGGTGTTACATAAGCGGGTAGAGGAGCAGTTCCTCAAGGACTGCTAAAGACAGGGCTGAGATCCAAACTGTTCCTAACCTAAACCACTTGGAAGGTGCATGAGGCAAAGGGTCACTGTGTGCTTCTGCTCCTCACTACTCTGGGAATGGATGGACCTTCCACATGACATTGTGTGGCCTTTCCCACACTAATGTATTTCTGGGGACTGAGAGCCAAAGCATAAAGCTGTGCAAAACCACCCCTGGGACATGGTCCTCTTGGGGATAAATGAGGTATTCTAGGGAGTGTAGAGTCAGGCAGAAACAATGAAGCATAAAGAACATCGGTGATGACTGGCAGATCCTGTCAGGAGGTGCTGGAACACACTGTCCTCGATGGTGCTCCTGCAGCAGCAAGCCTTGCTCTTGATGAATGTTCCAGCAATCAAGAGATACCACTTTGGAACAGCTTTTCCTTGCCAGGCTGTGAAGTCTGGAGGGGAGAGAGGAACTGCAGGGAAGATGTGTTCAGTTAAGATTCAGAACTTGCCCTGGAACAAAGGTTGCCATTTGCTGAGGTTCTGTAGACCAATTGTCTGCTGCTGATAATATTAACAGTGTTACTTAACAAAAGAATAGTGATAAAATAGCAAACTCTCATGGCATATTCATTAAGATAATCAAGAAAAAGTGATGCAGTATTTATGGATTTTTTTGTAAGTCACAGAGAAGAAAAATGAATTTATTTAATTAGATTAATTTTCTGTTAGCTTTACTAGGATGTCATAAAAAACATGGAGAGATTTGATAATATAAAATTATAGTCATTCTGGAAGGTCTTAATGTTTTCCAAGGAAGAATGGTTAGAACTAGTGGTAACTGTAGAGGAGTATAAGCTGCAGCATGTGAGCCCTTATAAATGAAGAAAACATTCAGAGTAACCTCATAAACTAAGAAACTGCCAGTTTAATCTGTGTGCTGTTACAGCCTAGAACAATGTATTCTTCTTGCGTGCCTTGCCTTTCATAAGCAAGGCCTGAATGCTAATAACCTGGAAATGCATCCTCTCTCCTGGTCTGGTAGTTGTTACTGTGGTGAGCAGAAAACATTTAAAAATATTTCAGAAGTAGAAGAGTAGAAGTCATTTTCAGCTCTCATACTGTGCTAGGGAATGATCACGTACTGGAAGAATGCATCCAGTGGTAAAAGGGTAACCGAGAAATCACATGCTTCTGGATGCTCGATAAGACAAGACAGGTCGAGGGAGAAAGCACATCTCCTCAGTTCTATGTACGGACCTGGGGCGTGTGTAGTGCAGAACAGATAGGCAGTGAAGTTCCTAAAGGGCATACTGACTTTCAAGAATATGCACCCCAACCGACAAGTACCTAAAATTCCCCTGGCCATGGCCTGGCACAGCCTCCTGGTTGCACACAAAGAGCTTCTCCAAAGCTGCTCGGGCATCATCTTCTTCCACAACTTTTACAGTCAAGTCACAGACATTCTCTTTGGTTGGTTTTGCTAAGTAGGATGGTTTTGCTGAAGAAATGCATAATATACATTTAATTTTCTTTTTCCGTTAAGACATTTTACTTTGCAAAGGAATTGCTAATTATTTATTACTTTTTTTTCCTGCTGTGAAGTTGGAAAGTTTAAGATCCCCACATGTGGTATTTTTAGAACTAGTGTTCTGTATTGTTATTGCCATGACATTTTTATCAGTTAGAGCAACAAAAAGTCTGAGTTGTTGTTCAAGTATTTTGATCCCTTCAGAATCTGAAGCAAGTTTTTAAATGAAAGATCAGTTTAGATATATTTGTTTATTTTTTGTGTAAAATTTAACTCAAAGAGGAAAAGCACTCTATAAAATGTAATAGTTGGACATTCAGGAGGAACAGTCAGAAAGATAGACTTAGATTTGAGTTCAGGCAGAAGAAAACAAGTCCTGATATAAAGAAATTAATCTGTAAGTTATCAGCATACAAAAAAATTTTATCCAAGAATGACACTGACTGAGGAGCAGGCTGTTGGGGAGCAGCAGAAGGGAGACTGACTTGGGAGCAGCACAGTCCCATGGTACCTAGGCAGAGTGGGAGCAGCAGCAGGCTCCTCTGGGCCCCCAGGCGAGGTGGGGAAGGAGACCCAGAAGCAGACACAGAAGAGCCAGGTGCCAGAGCCAGGGACAAGACCTGGGGATGGTCCCTGGCACATAGCAAGCAGAGTGGGTACGCAGCGCTCATCTCAGAGCTCCCAGCCCCACGTGAGGCTGAGCAGGGCAGTCGAGGCCAATTTAGAGAGTACAGATAACTAGTTTGGCCAGGAAGATCACAAGAGTTTTGATGAAAGTAATTTCAGTGAAGTACATCGCAGAATGAGATTTGTTATTTGGAGACTGGGGAAGAGAGGAGCA